TAAATTTGAAATAAAAGGTCGTATTATTTTCGAGGAAAAATTCAACGAATATTTTTTAGTAAGAGACATATGGTATATCAGAGCACTAGCGCTCGGAAACTCCATTAAAAATTTTCGAAGCGTAGTAGAAATTCATCGACGGTTCCATTAACTCGGCCTCGGGGCCGTTTTTTCCATCCAATCGAAATATTCGAGCGATATCTTTGCTAACCCAGAATTCTCGAATCCGAATCGACAGGAGAGCCGATATTTCGCGTGGTGAACGGATAATCGCGACCAAAAACGCGGCTCCGATCGACATATCTGTCGAACGCCAGAACATCCAAGGCCTTAATTAACGCGGTCGAGTTTTCCTTAGAGAAAAATTTCATTTTCGTTAATTCCGAAATTGCGGTAATTCCTTATTGAGAAGGTTCGAACTTGTATAGATACAATTTGATCTTGAGACTCTTAAGTGAAGATGTGATTCGAACTTCAAAAATATAACTGGAGGTACAATTGAAACTTGAAACTTGTAAATATAGATACAATTCGAACTTGAAACTTGTAACTGCAGATGCAATTCAAACTTGAAGCATATAATTGTACATACAATTCGAATTTGAAATTTGTTACTGAAGGTACAATTCATATTTGAGACTTGTAAATACAGACGCAATTCGAACTTGAAACTTGTAACTGCAGATGCAATTCAAACTTGAAGCATATAATTGTACATACAATTCGAATTTGAAATTTGTTACTGAAGGTACAATTCATATTTGAGACTTGTAAATACAGACGCAATTCGAACTTGTAACTTGTAACTGCAGATGCAATTCAAACTTGAAGCATATAATTGTACATACGATTCGAATTTGAAATTTGTTACTGAAGGTACAATTCACACTTGAAACTTGTAACTACAGAGACAATTCGAACTCGAAACTTATAACTGGAGGTACAATTCAAACTTGAAACATGTAACTATAGATGCAATTCGAATTTGAAATTTGATACTGCAGATGCAACTCACATTTGAAACTTGTAATTACAGAGACAATTCGAACTTGAAACTTATAACTGGAGGTACAATTCAAACTTGAAACATGTAACTATAGATGCAATTCGAATTTGAAATTTGTTACTGAAGGTACAATTCACACTTAAAACTTGTAACTACAGATACAATTCGAACTTGAAACTTATAACTGGAGGTACAATTCAAACTTGAAACACGTAAATATATATACAATTCGAATTTGAAATTTGATACTGCAGATGCAATTCAAACTTGAAACTTGTAACTGCAGAGACAATTCAAACTTGAAACTTGTAGGTACAATTCGAACTTTCCATTTTATGCTCCGTGCAACGTTAATGACATTCAGGATTATAATTTTGGAACAGAGCCAGAGGATTGCGATACTGCACACATCAGGAAAATTCCTCCACATCAGAAATTTAAAACTATCAAAAATTCCTCCCTATGATGGATATCTAAAAAGAAATGAAAAAAGGAGAAACGATCGGAGAGTCAACAGTACAAGTTAAAAATAGAGGAACTTGAAAAAAGAAAGAGAAGGTGGCGAGGAATAAGAGGAAAACGTGGTACACGTAAAACGCGGAAAAGGAAAAAAACAAGGGGATGTTGGCCACTTGACTTCGGCCCGTGACCAAACGGAAGTGGTTTATACGAGGACAAAGAGCAGGGAAATAGCGAAACTCGAGGATCGAAGGTGCAATTATGAAATTCAGGGGCATAGGAATTCCAAGGGTTGAAAAGGTATTAATATTTTTTCTACTATGTTTACTCTCCTGTAATCTGTAATTTAGTTCTAAAAGAAATAACTACTGTTTTATTTTTTACTCGAACCCTTATTATTTTGAAATCATGAAATTTCATGAAATTTTATTATGAAATAAATTTGATATGAAATCATGAATGATTGAAATCATGAAATTTTATCATGAAATAAATTTGATATGAAATCATGAAATTTCTAATGAAAATCCATAACTTCCCCTTGATGAAAACCCATAACTTCCCCTTAACAAAAATCCATAACTTCCCCTTAACAAAAACCCATAACCTCCCCTTAATGAAAACCCATAACTTTCCCTAAATAAAAACAACAGTGTTTAAAGATTAATTCATAAAACTCAAAGAGGGTTTTCACCCCGAAATTACAAAAGGATCATCGTTCGAAGTATTTCCGACAATCGATGGTATCGAAGCCTACTAATGAGCTTCCGCTGCGGTTTCAATTGTTCCGAACGCACGTGATCGAAAGTTTTCTCGAAAGAGCGTCTTTTACATTTTCTTTATGGAACACTTGTAGATTTATGTACGTCGATAGAGTACATCCGCTGACGAAAACAGCATCCGGTTTATAAATATTTCCTCAGGGACCTGGGGTTATCGATCGGAATTTGATAAAATTTTTTATCCCACGCAATTTTGAGGTACAAGTGCTTCCTTTTAGCGGAATTGATGATGAATAAGGGATGCAAATGGTAAACCAATCGAACCGTGTTTACTTGCAAACTGAAACCTCTAGATCTAATTTTATAGACCAGAAGAAACTGCAAATTAAACTTGACAATTTGTACAAACATCGCCTTGAAAACACTAGGTAGATGTGTACGATTCAAAGTAGCTGATTCAAGTGACATTACGAGGTAACTGTGATAAGAAATTTAGGCAAGCATTAAATTTCATGAAGATTCGAGTCGTCGATGCGATGTGTACCTAGAAATATCAAAGACTAGGAACTCAACTGGGAAATCGACATCAAAAACAGGACTTAAGAGGACCTACATCTAACAATTGTACTAAAATGAAATGTCAAGGAAATTAGTCAAAAAAGGACTCTGTGAGAGAGGACCAAAAAGATGTAACAATTGGACAGAAATTAAATGTCAAGACAATTATTGGAACCATTAATACAACGTGTACATGGTACAGAACTATCAGACACCTAACTGAATCCATTAGAAACAGGACTCTAAAAGAAAGAACCAAAAACAACTATCAATTCGACAGAAATAAAATGACCAGATAATTATTTGAATCATCAGTGCAATGTGTACATGATCCAGAACTATCAGACACCTAACTGAACCCATCAGAAACAGGACTCTGAAAGAGGGGACCAAAAACACCTAACAATTTGACAAAAATAAAATGGCAAGAAAATTATTTGAATCATCAATGCAAGGTGTAGATGATCCAGAGCTATCAAACTATTGACTGAATCCATTAGAAACAGGACTTTGAAAGAGAGGACCAAAAACACCTACCAACTCAACAAAAATAAAATGGCAAGAAAATTATTTGAATCATCCATGCAAGGTGTACATGATCCAAAGCTATCAGACACCTAACTGAACCCATCAGAAACAGGACTCTGAAAGAGGGGACCAAAAACACCTAACAATTTCACAAAACTAAAATGGCAAGAAAATTATTTGAATCATCCATGCAACGTGTACATAATCCACAGCTACCAAACTACTAACTGAACCCATTAGAAAGAGGACCTTGAGAGGACCAAAAACCTCCAACAACTCGACAAAAATAAAATAGCCAAAAAATGACTCGAGTCATCAAAGCAACGTGCACCAAAGCTCAGACTGGGAACCCATCAAACTTTGATAGACCCAAAAACACCTAACAAACAATTCGACAAAACCCAATCGAATCCCTTAGCCATACTAGCAAAAAGCCGAAACCATGAAACGTTGCAAAACACCTAAGCAAAATACACGAAAGATCCAAGGTTTATTTCGGGCTTGAAAATTGTGGAGCCATGAATGATAGATGGAAATATCGTAACCGAAAGAGTCGCGGGAAGCTCGGCCATGTCGCGATAGGAGCGCGCTGCCCTGAGCACCGGGGCAAACAGGTAGGGCCAGGGATGTAATCGGGACTCACGTTATTCATCTCGCAGTCGATCCAAGGACACGCTCACATGCGGCTGTCCGATGGTAGCACGGTCGTTGCACCGTCGGGCCTCGTTGCGACAGCGAGAACCGTGACAGCGGGAACGAGGACGAGCAAGACGAGGACGATCGACCGCGACGATGTCGATGCGGGACAAACAACGCGCGTAACGACACGGAATGGCGAGCACTCGGTGCGATCGCGAAGCACACGCGAGCGACGAGCATCGCCCCAGCTCGACACCAAGCTCACGACTGCCTCTCGATCACCGAGCTAGCTGGGGGTTGCTTCGGGTTCACCGGTTCAGGGGGTGGTCTCGGAGGTGCCGGGGGTGGAACCTCTCTTGGACGACACCGCCGTCTACCAGCTAATAGACGAACCTTCTAGAGGGCGCTACGAGGGTTGTAACATTCCTTTTCACAAATATTCTTGTTCTATGTAGAAATCTGACTTTTTCTGAAGGCTGTCTGCATGTATTTACCCAAAGGATGCTGGAAAATTGCCACTTGTGTACGCCTGAGTGCTTGTGACAGTAGGCCCTCCTAGGACTTATTGACCAAAACGGTCACAGCGACACCACGACAAAGTCAAATGTGACAAAACTTTGGAACAATTGCTTTACCGAGAACCTTGCAGAGAATGCAACTTTATCATATAGTCACCTCTCGCTAGATACATGCTTTCAAAAATATATACTTGAAGGATTTAACGCGATAAAAAAACGAATTGTAACGTAAATCGTCAAAAACGTCAATGTAGAATGTCAAATAACGTCACTAATAGCGACTGCATGACAAGAAACCGATATAAATTGGAAGCAATTAAGCCTCAATCGGTATGCACGTTGAAATTCCTCGAGTTCTCGGTTTCTGACGCAAGCATAACCTTGGACCAGTTTCAAGGCACGATATCGGTCACGCGTGGCCACCTTGGCGGTTTCCTCGAGGAAACTCACCCTTATCGATCGCGACGCGAGGAAAGGGGGACCCCAGCTGAATGATCGCGGATCGTTTGTTAGAAACTTAGTCTTAACCCGACGGTTTCCTCGTTCAACACGAAAGAGACGTGCACCTACCTTTGCTGGAGAATCAACAGGTTCGCGTGCCGGATGCGCTGGCACACCGGAAGTCATCAGTGAGGCCGCACGGTTCCTACCTCGCAAGCTAACGATCCTCCGGGTAAACGTTAGTCTTGACCGGTTAGAAATGGCGATGACAGGGATCATGCGGGATTTCTGGGACCTTTGATGGGGAACAGAAAAATGATTAGTTTGGTGAATGGTTACAGGTGGAGGTTAAATAATTATTTTACAATTAAAAAGGTAGAAGCGATGACATGTTAAGTGTATAGTAAAATGAGAGGACTAATCTGAACGAAACATTTGATGGAAGTGATCAGACAAAGGATTGTCAAAAAATGCCGATTAAAATTGTAGGCCATCTATTCTCACTTTTATCGACTCGCATTATACATAACTTGCGCGTATTTCAGCAAAGAATTGACGCGTGATACATCTAGTTTCAGGGAGATTAGGGTCGATAGAGGTAAGTACAAAATTGCCTAAGCTAACGGATGCGTCGAGGAACCGAATCGACGAAGAGGATCAAACCTCACCGAGTTTGGAACCTACGATTAATGTTTCTGTGCTTCGAATCTTTTCCTAGTACAAATGCATGCAGGCCATTGTAAAAATATATCAACGTTCGCAGGGTTACGTTTACACCGAGCGAGCGAGATTTGAACCGAGTACATCGCTGAATCGAATTTCGCCAGCGTCGAAAATTCGCTTGCTCAGCCTAAGCGCACCCTAACCTTCGATATCGGAGTATTCGCTTCTGACGCGCATTATGCTCGATTTCGGTTTTTCTATTCCACTTCAAAGCCGAAATGAGAGATTCCAATATATCACAGAATTTGAATTTCTCTGTTCCGTGCATCTTTCGCGGATGCACAGCTAGAAAAACGGAATGGACGAACGATTGCTTCGACAATTTTCAATGTTTTTGTTGGTTTGCGGCGCAGAAGAAATGTAATTGACAATTTGAATCGGGATTCACTTGGTCATCGCGGCTGATCAGAACCACAACTACGAAACTAAAGTTATGTACAAAATCACAATGATCCTCGCGCGGACACTTCCCTTATGCGATCCGCGATATTTCCTTCCTTTGTAATCTCGTGAAATCCGCAAGTATAAATACACATAACTACACGTACGAAATGCTAGTTGCCTCGTCTTCGTTTGTTCGTCTGCCTACGACTCACGTACCTAAAGCTAATTCATTAGTCCACACAGCAATGTCAAAATCCGAGTACCGTGTAACGCCGTGTTAACGCGAGAGTGCGACGAGTAAGTAACAGAAAAAAAGAAGAAATAAGTAAATTTTGGTGTGCATCGCAGTTAACGCGCCGTTCGCAATTATCACTAAAGAACAAAAAATACATCCTCGCGATAGAAGAAATTGGTAATGTCATGGGTAATAAAAGAAAACGTACAAAACGCACCATCGCAATGTACCGAGATTCTGTCAGATATGCGAGGGAGTTCTTCATGAACACTTGGGCGTGTCGCTCCGAATAGTCTTCTCTCGTCGCGACACAGAGCCTATAAACAACGATCCTATTCCTCGAAAAGTTCATCACTACCGTTTGTGACCGTGACTCGACTTGCTCTTAGGGCTCTCGCTGGCCGTGTCGTTGGGTTCTCGCCTGGGTCTCAGAATAAAGTTCAGATTGTGCGCGGTGTTGACGGCGTAGTAAACGTTAGCCGAGTTTGGCAAGACCAACTCTCGATCCGGCAGAACCTGGGCGAGCGTGTACTGATCCGGGCTACCCTCTATTCCCAGCTTCAGCATCGCGTTCCGTATAACTTGCGGCGTCCTCTCGTTATTGGATAGCATGATGGACTTGTACAGCACCACGCCGTCCGTCTCGACGTTGTCGCTCTCCATGGTGACCTTGATTATGTAGAAGTCTGGAGAGCTCTTGTGCGAATGGCTGGGACTGGAGAGACCGACGATATTCGGACCGTTCCCGTTAGCGGTGACGGCTGCGGAAGGTGCCAGTCGATTGTGCTGGTTACCCGTCGCCCCGCTTCCTCCTCCGGAACTCAGAGACACGTCCAGAGATGGTAAAGACGAGCTGGAGGAAGAGCTGGACATCTGGGACGGCGAGGTGCGTCGGTCGAGAGAGTTGTGCGGCGAGCTTGGCAGGGAATCTAGGTCGCAATAGAACTGGGAGCTGCTCGAGCTCGACGTAGAAGCGATCGAGTCGTTCTTACGGTGACCCTGATGACTCTGTAAGACAAGTCTGGGCTGAAGCTTCTCGCGTGAGACGGGTGATCGGGGACGGGAGCGGAATAACGAGACGGAGAGCATGCTGACCTGCTTCTTCTTGCCTCGATTGCTCAGAGTGTTTCCAGGCGGCGGTGGCTCGATCTGACAGCTCAGCTTGTACGCTTCGCGATCGTCGAGCACCACCACCGAGTGGAACCACCGATCGAACAACGCGTCCGTGCTGAAGTTGTACGCATTTGCGGCGCCTTGAAGCAGCCGTATCCTGGCGAGGACCTCGAACTCTTTTCTTCTTTTGTCGAAATTGATCAGACCCTCCGCTATCGTGTCGGGTATCGCCGTGTCTATCATTGTTAGATCCGTCAGGAAGGTCCCCAGGTACGGTATGGTTCCGTAGCTGATGTTCTAAAAGAAAAATAAGCGCATGTAGGCACAACATATCGACAGATTAGAATCTTACAAACGTCCACTTACGCCAGCATGAGTATTCTGCTTTTGAAACAGCTTCTGAAGGTGTCTGTCGCTTCTACCGGCAGTGTCCGCGAACTTGGCAGTGCCTTCCTTGATCAGAAGCTCTCTCTGCGTCCACGCGTTGTTCTCTTCCGAGAAGATCCTCTCCAACTCTCTGAACAGTTCGTGCTTCTCTCTGGGCATGCACTGCCAGCATTTTTCTAACCTGTATACGGGGTTACTCTGAAGACCGGACACGATAGCCTTCAGGCTACTGAAATTCTTCAACACGCGCAACTCTTGAGCAATGTCGATCCACGTCTCAAGAATTCTCGCGCGTTCCTGAGATTTCATCGTCGGCTCCATCAGTATCGTGGATATCACTCGCAACGATACGGCATTGAACTGATTCACGGTTGCCAATACGGTGGCTGCGTCGTGACTTCTCGAGCGGTCCCTTCTGGACCAAACAGCACCTAAACACTGATGAGCCACGAGCTTCTTGAACACCTCCGCGTCCATACGGGTTAACTGTTCGGCGAAATGGCGGTGCGGAACCTCGGGGAAATTGTAGTTCGCCCAGTGATCCACGATGGGCTCCGGGGAACTTCGGGGCAGACGTCCATTGTCGTAGACCATGCAGGAGTCTGGAACGGTTTCTCCGGAACTCAGAGACACGTCCAGAGATGGTAAAGACGAGCTGGAGGAAGAGCTGGACATCTGGGACGGCGAGGTGCGTCGGTCGAGAGAGTTGTGCGGCGAGCTTGGCAGGGAATCTAGGTCGCAATAGAACTGGGAGCTGCTCGAGCTCGACGTAGAAGCGATCGAGTCGTTCTTACGGTGACCCTGATGACTCTGTAAGACAAGTCTGGGCTGAAGCTTCTCGCGTGAGACGGGTGATCGGGGACGGGAGCGGAATAACGAGACGGAGAGCATGCTGACCTGCTTCTTCTTGCCTCGATTGCTCAGAGTGTTTCCAGGCGGCGGTGGCTCGATCTGACAGCTCAGCTTGTACGCTTCGCGATCGTCGAGCACCACCACCGAGTGGAACCACCGATCGAACAACGCGTCCGTGCTGAAGTTGTACGCATTTGCGGCGCCTTGAAGCAGCCGTATCCTGGCGAGGACCTCGAACTCTTTTCTTCTTTTGTCGAAATTGATCAGACCCTCCGCTATCGTGTCGGGTATCGCCGTGTCTATCATTGTTAGATCCGTCAGGAAGGTCCCCAGGTACGGTATGGTTCCGTAGCTGATGTTCTAAAAGAAAAATAAGCGCATGTAGGCACAACATATCGACAGATTAGAATCTTACAAACGTCCACTTACGCCAGCATGAGTATTCTGCTTTTGAAACAGCTTCTGAAGGTGTCTGTCGCTTCTACCGGCAGTGTCCGCGAACTTGGCAGTGCCTTCCTTGATCAGAAGCTCTCTCTGCGTCCACGCGTTGTTCTCTTCCGAGAAGATCCTCTCCAACTCTCTGAACAGTTCGTGCTTCTCTCTGGGCATGCACTGCCAGCATTTTTCTAACCTGTATACGGGGTTACTCTGAAGACCGGACACGATAGCCTTCAGGCTACTGAAATTCTTCAACACGCGCAACTCTTGAGCAATGTCGATCCACGTCTCAAGAATTCTCGCGCGTTCCTGAGATTTCATCGTCGGCTCCATCAGTATCGTGGATATCACTCGCAACGATACGGCATTGAACTGATTCACGGTTGCCAATACGGTGGCTGCGTCGTGACTTCTCGAGCGGTCCCTTCTGGACCAAACAGCACCTAAACACTGATGAGCCACGAGCTTCTTGAACACCTCCGCGTCCATACGGGTTAACTGTTCGGCGAAATGGCGGTGCGGAACCTCGGGGAAATTGTAGTTCGCCCAGTGATCCACGATGGGCTCCGGGGAACTTCGGGGCAGACGTCCATTGTCGTAGACCATGCAGGAGTCTGGAACGGTTTCACGATTAGATCTGAACGGGAAACAAGGCTTCCCTAACCGCATGCGTGAACAGAAAGGTTTACATTAAGTTCTCCAAACGCTCATCCCTTTCAGTGGAACTTGCACTCGACAATAAAATGACGCGTACATGAATCAGACTGTGATGACTCGTGACTAGGGGTTTATCTGGGGAAACACGAATTTGTGATACGAGCGTTACAAACATCCGCTTGACGTGTAGTATAATAATGACTACGAATAACGTTTTATATCGTGTGACTGCGAGTATATAAATAGAACAGATACGAATATTTTCTGTTGATTTCATTCTTGAGCCAAATATTCTTTTACGAGGTTTTAATGATCGCATTTGCGGAGGAATTTTCCTTTTCAATCGCTGAATCTCGACATCCGTTCATTTACCTATTTGATCTTCACGCTGGAACCTGTGCAAACGATGCCTTGCCTTGAGCTCGAGTTCCGAGCTAGGAAGCCGTCGATGCGTGAAGTCCAAGAGTCTGCTGAGCAGAGGATGATTCGGCGGCGACTTCCAGTCACCGGGATAAGCGTCCAGCCAGACGTGAAGAGCTTGTACCAGAGTCTTTCGATGCTGTTCACCTGTCAGGGCGCCGGATCCCTCGTCGAGGGCGTCGTACCTCGCTAACAATAGCTCGAGAACCTCTCGCGGCGTCGTGAACGCACGATACGTCGCCAAGAAGACGTTTATGTATGTCGACTCGAGTTCCCCATCGTCGTTCGCCAAACTCTCCACCAACCTCTGCACCGTGCCAGCTTTCAGGAAACGCACTCTCACCGTTTCCCATTCTAGATGCGAGATCTCGTCGTCGGAGTCCTGGGTAAAAGAAATTTCGTCGTCAAAAATTCAAACCGAAGATCGTGGAGCAACAAGTTTACTTACCGAGGCGGAGAGACTTCTGGTCGGCCTGTGATAGCGAACCTTCTTCAGGTACACCGTGTATATGACGCCGTCGCCCCGTTCCTCGCCCCATAAACGCCACGTGGGCTGCGAAGTAAAAGCAAACGGCTTCGTTAGAAAGACGCAGACATCCGGTGGGCGGTGCACCAGAAGAGTGGCGAAAGGCGACGCTCCAGGGGATGATTTACGCGACTAATTTCACGGACTACCCCCTGTCACGCGCAACCATCTCTCTAATAGGGGAACGAGAGGCTAATCAATGGACATCGTCGTGCAGTCGGCAGATTTATTGAAATAATTGACTTCCGAGCTGGGAATTGACCTCGACCCGTTCGTTTCACGGCTCGCAGACAATTAACCGGATGAGACGTTTTATCTTCGCGTTTTGCGACTTCTACGACGCTGTCCACGATCTTCGCTCCAGGTGATGTTTCTTCGGATTCAATGAAAAATTTGTTACATCTTCTAGGTTCTTGTTAACCACTTTTGTCTTCAAGGCACAGTGAGACACTTGGCAAAATTTCACCGGAATATACGTGGATGGAAAATTACGAATGTGATCGCAAATTGCGAAACTTCTCGCGTCATAAGTCATATTAGCCGCCGTAAAAAAGTAATTAAACCGGTACGAAGTTTTTCTTGTTGCGAACGAGTAGCGGAAATGAAAATTAAATATTATCCGTGAGTCTCCGCGACAAATCATTCGCGAGTTAATTAAGATCTCTAATGACTCGATTTATCAAAATACCCGGATTAGTCTACCGCTAATTCTTCAAAGTTCATACACGCAAGCAACGTTAATTACTGCGTTCAGGATAAAGCATGCTTCTGAAGGGAACAAATGTCAGTTTCAAAGGAACTACTAAAAATAGTATCCTCTCTGGAACGTGCACCATTTAGCGTTTTATTTGCACCGCTGAAAACATCGTCGAAGTTATCCTGGTCCCCTGGCTAAGACAACTTGGCTGCACGAGCAACAAGAGAATCGTAATATCCAAGGATAAGAATATACCAAGAACCCGTACAACGTCTCGTTTCCTCTGCTCGTATTGTATCGCTATAGCGATCGGAAACAAACCGTGTCATTGCCATTCCGGTACACAACAGTTTCGATAGAAATACTGTATGAAGGTACAGCTTCATCGATCGACGTTTTTGCATACGAAATAAGACGGTTCCTCATCGATTTATTAACCGAAGACGGTACAAACAAAAATTCATGCTTTCATGCATTATTCTTTGCGAGAAATCAGATGTTTGGCAGTCTATAATTTTTGGGCTTGTCTTTTTGAATTTAAGGTAGGGAATTGACATCTGCGAACGAGTCGATAGTTTATGTTGTTGGTTGTATTAATTCTTTGCATTATTTTTTGTGGCGCACTCAGGACGCATTCGTGACGCATTCATGACACACTTATGGCACAATCATGACGCATTTGTGACGCACTCAAGGCACAATCTTGACGCACTCATGACGCATTCGTGACGCACTCCCGACGCACTCTTAATGCATCTCTGACGCACTCTACATGCAGTCGTGACGCACTCAAGCTCCAGTCACGACGCACTCATGACGCACTCGAAATACAGTCACGACGCACTCATGACGCACTCGAGATACAGTCATGACGCAATTATGACGCACTCAAGATACAGTCGCGACGCGCTCATGACGCACTCAAGATACAGTCACGACGCAATTATGACGCACTCAAGATACAGTCATGACGCACTCATGACGCACTCGAGATACAGTCATGACGCAATTATGACGCACTCGAGATACAGACGCAACGCACTCATGATGCACTCGAGATACAGTCATGACGCAATCATGACGCACTCGAGATACAGTCATGACGCAATTATGACGCACTCAAGATACAGTCATGACGCAATTATGACGCACTCGAGATACAGTCATGACGCAATTATGACGCACTCGAGATACAGACGCAACGCACTCATGATGCACTCGAGATACAGTCATGACGCAATCATGACGCACTCGAGATACAGTCGTGACGTACTGGAGATACAGCCATGACGCACCCGTGGCATAATCGTGACGCATTCGTGACGCACTCTCGACGCATGCATAATGCACTCATGACACATTTATGACGCATTCATGACGCACACCCGACTTGTTCATGACGCACTTGTGACACACTCGCAACTTGTTCGTGACGCACTCACGACGCACTCCAGCTGTGATCAATTTTACTTGAATTTTTCGTACGGTATAATTTGAAGTTCAATAGTAATTTGCATAATGAACGACAGTATAATAATAGAGTATATAAATTCAATTTGTTTTGTCTGTTTTAAAATTGTACATTAGGTGCGACGCACCTGACAAATGAACGATGGGACTTAAGTGAAAGATGTCATGACGCACTCACGATGCACTCATGACGCATTCATGACCCATTCGTGACGCATTCGTGACGCACTCCCGACTTGTTCATGACGCACTTGTAACACTCGCAACTTGTTCGTGACGCACTCACGACGCACTCCAGCTGTGATCAATTTTACTTGAATTTTTCGTACGGTATAATTTGAAGTTCAATAGTAATTTGCATAATGAACGACAGCATAATAATAGAGTATATAAATTCAATTTGTTTTGTCTGTTTTAGGATTGTACATTAGGTGCGACGCACCTGACAAATGAACGATGGGACTTAAGTGAAAGATGGCCATTTGAAGTGGTGAAATAATATTCCCTGAATAGAGAAATCCTATTGCGGGATTGAGAGATTTGTACCGTAAAGTCTTTCACGAATATGAATAGGAGAGGCAAAAAGCAACAGCCGATCCGAAAGAAATCTGGCCACGTACCGACTACCGTTGCAGACTCTGTGAAAAAAGCCGGCTTACGCTCTGGAACGAACCGTGCAATTAGAGGCCTACGGGAGAACCCGAGCGTGACTTAAGGTCCTTAGACCCCTTCGTCCTTGGAGACGACTCCTTGGAACGCTCCATTGTTCCACTCTTTCCGTCAAAGCACACGTTTCCCCGAGATTTCCAAACGACGCGTGAACTCTCGGTCGGTGTCCCTCGGAAAACGAGGGAACGCAAGTCGGTTTAAGTCCGTTTAATCTCGCGAAAATTGCCCAAGTACTTCGGCATCCGAAGGTTTTTATCATTTCCGAAGGTTCGATTTCGGAACGAAAATAAATCGTCAATCGGCAGTCGACAGGTAAAGAGACGTGTGTACAAACAGCCATCCCTTATATTATTCCACGTCGACCTATAAAAAGCTTAACATCGGATTATCGAGGCTCTAACGATCGATATACGTGGAAATACATCGGACTATCAACCGGTGCTTCCTCCCACGTCGATGCGAAGTCACGAATAGCGAAACCCATGGAATATTCCGAGCGAAAGAAAACCGGTGCAACGCGACTGTCTGCTATCGATCACGAATTAGATTCTGCACGATATTCTTTTTATGTTTAACCTTTAACATCCCTTAATTACGCAGGAGAAAGAAATCTTTCGAATACTTTCTATATTGATGGAATTACTTCGAAAGCCTCTTTTCACTTTCTGATAATTCTCGCGTAAGCAATGATAATGGATGACTAAGTCGATAACGGTCTAACGCTTTCCAAGTGGTTTTGTAATAACTATCGTTAAGTTTTAAGGATACTGGACTGAGCGGATGCTCGAATTCATTGGTGGGTATTTACAATTTTAGAAGGAGCTAGACAGCCAAATTTTATTTGATAGAGTCAAGTTTTATTTGATAAAGTCAAGTTTCATTTGATGAAGTCAAGTTTCATTTAACAAAATCAAGTTTCATTTGATGAAGTCAAGTTTCGATTTGATGAAATCAAGTTTCATTTAATAAAGTTAAATTTCATTTAATAAAGTTAATTTTCATTTGATGAAGTCAAGTTTCATTTAACAAAGTCAAGTTCATTTAACAAAGTCAAGTTTCCTTTAACAAAGTCAAGTTTCATTTAACAAAATCAAGTTTCATTTAACAAAAGATTTCCAACTGAAAATATTCTTTTAACAGAAAATATAAAGTCAAGTTTCATTTAACAAAGTCAAGTTTCATTTAACAAAGTCAAGTTTCATTTAATAAAGTCAAGTTTCATTTAAGAAAGTCAAATTTCATTTAACAAAGTCAAGTTTCATTTAACAAAATCAAGTTTCATTTAATAAAATCAAGTTTCATTTAATAAAGTCAAGTTTCATTTAACAAAATCAAGTTTCATTTAACAAAATCATTCCAACTGAAAATATTCTTTTAACAGAAAATAACTAAACTTGCAAATTGCAAACAGGTCAGATACACTAATCAATTTAGCACAAAAGGTACTTAAGATTTTCCAACTGAAACTCCCTGAATATACAGGGATGTATAGCACGAAGCGTAGCATAACCGTAATAAAAATTATCTCCGATCAGAAGAAGCGTTCGTAAATAAAACACGTAATTAGATGGCTGAGATTAAAGGCAACGGTACTGTGCAGTCGTTCCATGAAACAGTTTCGCAACGATTTTCTAAAGTCTATTAGATAAGTCCACGATGATCTAATCAACAAAGTCAAGTTTCCTTTAACAAAATCAAGTTTCATTCAACAAAATCAAGTTTCACTTAACAAAATCAAGTTTCCTTTATCAAAATCAAGTTTCACTTAACAAAGTCAAGTTTCCTTTAACAAAATCAAGTTTCATTTAACAAAATCAAGTTTCACTTGATTCAAGATTTCCAACTGAAAATATTCTTTTAACAGAAAATAACTAAACTTGCAAATTGCAAACAGGTCAGATACACTAATCAATTTAGCACAAAAGGTACTTAAGATTTTCCAACTGAAACTCCCTGAATATACAGGGATGTATAGCACGAAGCGTAGCATAACCGTAATAAAAATTATCTCCGATCAGAAGAAGCGTTCGTAAATAAAACACGTAATTAGATGGCTGAGATTAAAGGCAACGGTACTGTGCAGTCGTTCCATGAAACAGTTTCGCAACGATTTTCTAAAGTCTATTAGATAAGTCCACGATGATCTAATCCGTTAGATGTTGTGTGCGAATATGGATCTTAAAAATTGATTGATAGTCATCGGTGTTGCATCGTGTGTACTTGATGCGTCATGCGGTGTGTTGGGCTTAAAACTGTATCAGTATTTTTATTTTCTAGGTAAGGTATCTTTAAGAAGGTAGCTTCATTTTCTGAGAAGGCATATGTTCATTTAACAAGGTTTGTTGGCAAGGTGTACCTCCATTTTGTTAGAAAGGTGTACCTTCATTTTGTAAGATGGTGTGCAATTCATTTGCTAAGCAGGTGTATCTTCATTTGCTAAGCAAGGTGTATCTTCATTAGCTAAGCAGGTGTATCTTCATTTGCTAAGCAAGGTGTATCTTCATTTGCTAAGTAAGGTGTATCTTCATTTACTAAGTAAGGTGTATCTTCATCTTGTTAGCAAGGTACCTTCATTTTCTAAGTAAGGTATCTTCATTTTCTAGCTGAGGTCTCCCTTCATCTTCTAAGATGTACAATTCATTTGCTAAGTAAGGTGTATCTTCATCTTGTTAGCAAGGTACCTTCATTTTCTAAGTAAGGTATCTTCATTTTCTAGCTGAGGTCTCCCTTCATCTTCTAAGATGTACAATTCATTTGCTAAGTAAGGTGTATCTTCAGTTGCTAAGTAAGGTGTATCTTCATTTGCTAAGTAAGGTATATCTTCAGTTGCTAAGCAAGATGCATCTTCATCTTGTTAGCAAGGTACCTTCATTTTCTAAGTAAGCTTTCTTCATTTTCTAGCTGAGGTCTCCCTTCATCTTCTAAGATGTACAATTCATTTGCTAAGTAAGGTGTATCTTCATTTGCTAAGCAAGGTGTATCTTCATCTTGTTAGCAAGGTACCTTCATTTTCTAAGTAAGGTATCTTCATTTTCTAGCTGAGGTCTCCCTTCATCTTCTAAGATGTACAATTCCTTTGCTAAGTAAGGTGTATCTTCATTTGCTAAGCAACGTGTATTTTCATTTTCTAAGAAGATGTGTCTTCATGTTCTAAGCAAGATGCATCTTCATCTTGTTAGTAAGGTACCTCCATTTTCTAAGTAAGGTATCTTCATTTTCTAGCTGAGGTCTCCCTTCATCTTCTAAGATGTACAATTCATTTGCTAAGTAAGGTATATCTTCATTTGCTAAGCAAGGTGTATCTTCATTTTCTAAGAAGGAATATGTTCATGTTCTAAGCAAGACGCATCTTCATCTTGTTAGCAAAATGCATCTTCATCTTGATAGCAAAGTATACCTTCATTTTCATCTTCATACCCTAAAAAGTATCTTCTAAGACACTTTACAAGTCTCAAAATCGATCAACAATCCAGTCGATCCGATCACATGAGTTCACCTCGGTTTCCACTTTCACCGCTTTATTTTTGAACGGTATACGATTTCCGATCCACATCGAAGAGTATACGCCTTGATGACGTAAAACGAACGTCAAACGATTAGACAAATATTATTCTCCTCCATGAATCCTCCTCTCCAAAATCACTGCTTTCGAAATAGCTAGGAAATCGAAGAATGGAGATAGAAAATTGAAAGATACGGTGAGAAAAAGTCGCGTGTACGACACCGGAAGTTCAAAGAACGGCGCTGATAAAGGTTGCTTTGTTTGCAAGCCACAAAAGCCACTCACGTAGCCCTGTACTTAAGTCTCAATAGAAGGCACAATGCCCTAAACGTGTTAACGCCGAAAACTCTCGCGGGGAAAGTCACGGTCAATGAATCGAGCCTTCGGCTATTCTTCCCTCGTTGTACAAGGACAAATGGCGTTTCACGAATCTGTGCTTGAATCGGAATTCGTGTGTTAACGACCGCGATAACGCGTGGAAGATACCTAAATTTCAGACGGTTCTATGTTCTGGAGAATATTCTTCATTGGTGGATCCCTTAATCTATTTTTCCCATTTAAGTACACTGACTTTCACTACAGAGACTTTCATAAAACATGAACACATGTGTTTCAATTGTACTCACATGAGTACACTAAAATTTGTAATATGAAGAGAATTTAATTTTTCTCACAGCAAAAGGAATTCGCTAAATAAAGTTGAATATCTGCACCCTTGAAATGAAAACTAGAAATCGAAGCAGTAGAGTGATTAAAAGTCAATCAAGATTCCCAGGTTATTCGATAATTGCTTGAGATTTCACGTGTCGCTGGCGGATTACAGGGACAGCGTTTTGCAAGAACGGGTGGAAAGCACAAGGTGTTTAGCGAACAACCGAACAAAGGAATTTCCTAGCCTCTCGACGGAATTCTATTAGACAGAAACTACCGGCAGTTTCCGGTCAGACCACGCATAATTACACGGCTTCGTAGGTACGATTCCAGATAAGCAATTAAACGAACCGCTGCCAAGGAGCCGCGATGACTCACGTGCCGATAAATAAGGTGTCAAAGCACCTTTTGCCACCTTCTGCTCTCGTTTCCTTTCGCGAACGTAACCCGCTCGGTTACGCGAAAATGTACGATTGCCTCGTAATTCTGATTTTGCAAGTTTCATGATAGCTTACGTGTCGCGTGCAATTTGAGTGCGTGAGACACTCGTGACGCATTTAGGACGCATTTGTGACGCATTGAAGATGCATTCTTGACGCACTCTTGACGCACTCAAGGCGTATTGGTGACGCACTCAGGACGCATTCTTGACGCACTCAAGATATATTCGCGACGCACTCATGACGCACTCAAGATGTATTGGTGACGCACACATGACGCACTCAAGATGTATTGGTGACGCACTAAAGATGCATTCTTGACGCACTCAAGGCGTATTGGTGACGCACTCAGGACGCATTCTTGACGCACTCAAGATGTATTGGTGACGCACGCATGACACACTTAAGGCGTAGTGGTGACGCACTCATGACGTACTCAAAATGTATTAGTGACGCACGCATGACGCACTTAAGGTGTATTGGTGACGCACTCCTGACGCATTCTTGACGCACTCAAGGCGTATTGGTGACGCACTCAAGATATATTGGTGACGCACTCAGGACGCATTCTTGACGCACTCATGACGCACTCAAGATGTATTGGTGACGCACTCAAAATGTATTGGTGACGCACGCATGCGCACTTAAGGCGTATTGGTGACGCACTCGTGACGCATTCTTGACGCACTCAAGATATATTGGTGACGCATTCAAGATATATTGGTGACGCACCCAGGACGCATTCTTGACGCACTCATTGTACTATCATGATGCACTCACGGTACAATCATGACGCATTCATGACGCACTCATTGTACTATCATGCACTCACGGTACAATCATAACGCATTCATGACGCACTGTTAATGCATCTCTGACGCACCCGCGACGCACTCGGGATGTAGTCGTGACGCACACATGACGCACTACTTCATCTATGATCGATTTTACTATAATTTTTAATATAGTATAGTGTTAAATATATGACTGTATATAACCACAGTCGAGAAGACACTAATGGAAATTAATAAAAGAACCTCGAAAGAATTCATAGAACTTCCAATGAAATTTAAACTTGCTAAACCACAATACCGTCGAGAGCAAAGAGTGCTTGATGCAGCCTCGTAAATCGAACATAACACAAAGTTTGTGAATCGAGGATTCAATAATGGAAACCTTATCTCGAACTCTGTTTTCCTTTTAAAACGGAAATTACTATTTATTAGAAGACTCATACGTGTAACGAGAACGACAAACTACTAAAATTGTATATAAATTAGGGGACGCCCCCAATTATGCGCAAGTACTGTTATTTGCAACAAACGACTAGGAAACACGTTCGAGATAAGGTCAGCAAGAATTGACGTAAAATGGCGGCGATTGACGCAAAAATACGAAGACAATAATTTGCATGCGGTGGACAATTCGCTGCATTTATTATTTTAACGCGGTCATCATACGTGACCGACTATGCAAAGTTAAAGGAATTATTTACAGGAAGAGCGGAATGAAAAATTTTTTGAAGGTTCTCTTGAAACAATAACATACATTAAACCCTTGTACGATTTTTTCAGAGGAATCAGTGAGTCAGAGTTAATTTTTGTAACATTAAAAAAAAGTAAAGGAAGTTGAAATTTTAAATATATTTTGTACAAACTAATCGATATTAAATTCCAGTCTCAATCGTGCAAATATGATTTTGATTTATTTCTGTACTGTAATGTGCGTCACTAGTGCGTCACGATATTCAGCAGATTAAACATGCTTGAGTACTCTCAATCTTAATAATTTTTTACGGAGTGTCTGACCACAAACGCCATTCACTGTGATCATCTTAACTTTTGCATTAAATTTTTAAAAAATCGAAATTCCCACAATTTCAAGCGAATTTTATTTTTTATTTTTGTAGTGCAGGAATTCTTCGAGTTAATTAAATAGAAAAAATGTAAAGTAACTCCCCACGGATGCATCGAAAGCAATCTCCCGATAATTCGCTCTCGATTAACCTGCGATTACTTCCCTTTCGAGGAGATGAAGGGGCTTCGAACTCGCTTCAGCGGTTCAATTGGGTCAATGTAACCATATTTCAGTTTTTGCGCTGCCCTCCGGTCATTAACGACAACGATACAGTTCCGATGACACTGTGACCCTGATTAATCGATTAACCTCCACGTGTGCTCGAGCTCCGACAAAACTGTCGAATTCGCAAGAGTTTTTCTATCAAACGATAGCGTTACTATAAATCAATCGGTGAAAGGGGATAAGGTTAAATTTACGGTGCGTGTTAATAAAAATCTACTTGAACGTTCTCGAAGCTACGTGACTAAACCTACGGCATACGCAGTTTCATGCAAACGACAAACAACGAATACTCCGAACAAAAGTCGCGCTACGACCGGAAGAAGGCAGAGAAAATCAAGACTCAACGAAACAAAACCAGCAGGCAAAAATAAAGAGAAAAGAGACGGTGGAATAATCGTCGAAATAACCGCGAAGAGAAAGAAGGAAGAGAAAACTGAAAAAGAAGAAGAGATTCCGACCAGAGAACGAAACAAAACATGTCTGATGAATCTGTTGCCAGTCTGTTTACCTGCTGCACGTACCACTGCGTGGAATTCTGGTTCTTCCTATGGCTGGTCGGCTTGCACGGGGCGCAGAGCAACAAGGGCGCCAGCTTGTTCACCCCCTTGACGCTGGCCGACGCCGGGGGCGACGTTGGGCTCAGCCCATCATCCCCCAACACGGGCCACAGCATCCACGTGTCAATGTCCGCGGAACTTCCCCTTCGTCCGCTACTTCGATTCGGCCTGTGCAATTTTTTTTGTCATTTTTCATCATCGAGCTACTCCGGTCTTTATTCTCTACCTTCATCTTCATATTTTCGCGTTACATTCTCTAAATTGTCAAGCTAAATTATCTATCTCAAGGTTTTCCGCAGAGTTATCTTCAAATTTCAAGGCAAATTGTCTACAGAGTTTCGCGTCACATTCTTTAAGTTTGAATTTTCGCGCCAAATTCTCTATCTTGAAATTTTCGCGCTACATTCTCTAAATTTTCAAGCTAAATTATCTATCTCAAGGTTTTCCGCAGAGTTATCTTCAAATTTTCAAGGCAAATTGTCTACAGAGTTTCGCGCCACATTCTTTAAGTTTGAATTTTCGCGCTATATTCTCTAAATTTTCAAGCTAAATTATCTATCTCAAGGTTTTTCCGCAGAGTTATCTTCAAATTTCAAGGCAAATTGTCTACCGAGTTTCGGCGCTGCATTCTTTAAGTTTGAATTTTCGCGCCAAATACTCTATCTTGAAATTTTCGTGTTACATTCTCTATCTCTAAATTTTCAAGCTAAATTATCTATCTGAAGGTTTTTCCGCAGAGTTATCTTCAAATTTCAAGGCAAATTGTCTACAGAGTTTCGGCGCCGCATTCTTTAAGTTTGAATTTTCGCGCCAAATAGTCTATCTTTAAATTTTCACGCTACATTCTCTATCTCTAAATTTTCACACCAAATAATCCCTAAATTCTAGCGTTAAATTATCTCCAAATTTTCCACACCAAATTCGCTACTTCAAATTTTCGCGCTAAAAAGAGATCTATAAAGCGAAAGATAAACGCAAGAAGATTCTGTAGAAAAGTTGACTTATCGTCGACTAAGTTTGGATTCACGGTATCGATGACGCGACGAAAACGTGCACCGTTATCGGAACCATCGACATTAAAAGTCCAACTTACGATCTCGAACGAAGGTCAAATAAAATACTCTTTCGCGTTTGCTGAAACTGCGTCTCGTGTTCTCAAGCTGCTCCGTTTTCGTGCTCGTAACGATAATTTGATAGCAAGCTTTAAATAGCTTGCAATTTTACTTGATATAGTACGATATTTAACTCGAAGGTATTTTTGCGATTAAAATCTTTCACTGAATTTTAAAATTACTAAATTATTATTCTATTACTGCTTTGAGATTACTTAAGATTAATTCTGTATTATTATCCAGTATTATTTGATTATGTTTATACATCACATGGGGGGCGAAAAGAGGAGTCCTCGAGGCGCGCAGTCACGTGACCCCCCCTGCGCGCGCAATTCAAATATCGCGTACAGTATGACTCTCTGATTTAGTTAAAAAATATTTCTTTCACCTTTCAAACTATTTAACAAATATTTACTTCACCTCCCAAAGCATTTAACAAATATTTCTTTCACCTTTGAAAATATTAAATATATTTAATAACCGATTTCTGCGAATTCAACAAATGTTCACCTACGTTATCACAGTGCAAAGATCAAAGGTTAAAATCGATGTTCAGGTAGAACAGCATAAAGGTCGAAGGAATTTTCGTTAAAGAGGATGTCGTGTGAGGTGCGTAGGAGGAATCGCATTTCCGACCATTAGTCGAAACGCGAGCACTTGCTAGACTAACCCCGTGACTTTTCGCCTACTGTCGCAGGAAGACAGAGAATAAACGATCTTGCGGCGATTTATCATACCGATCCACGATGCATGACGGGCATTCTGTACGCGTTCACGATTTCCCACGTGCCGATTCGTTACGCAGCGGTAATACAATATCATCGCGAAAACGATCAAAGTGATTCATCTTCGTGCAAGAACATTTATTATTACAACCTTCGCAAGCGTTTACTTCCAGCTGTGCAATCTTTGTATTCGATTATTCACCGTTACCAATTTTTTTATGAAAATTACTGTTGTGTTAAACTTTGGGGCATATAAGAGGCTTTTAACAAGGTTTTTTATTATGAATATGAATATTGTCATACTAGAATTAATGAAGAAAATGTGTAGTGACAATGTTAATGTATTAGTGTTGTGTAAAACTTTGGGACTATACAAGAGGCTTTTAACAAGGTTTTTTATTACGAATATGAATATTGTCATACTAGAATTAATAAAGAAAATGTGTAGTGACAACGTGAATATATTTAATAATTTGTATGTTCGATAGAATGTTCACAAATAAATGCATTTTCTATTCAAAAAATAAAAAACTGTTCATTATAGCAGATTTCATTATAATTAAAAATGAAGTAGACATAAATTGAAAGAAAAAAAAATAAAATCAAAAAGGAGACTCGATCCGCGAATCTGCAGATTATCAGTCTTTGACGCTACGCTCTGAGCCACTGGGTTCCTTGCTAAATTTTTATCACGAATTCCTTATGAAGGAATAAGATTTTCAATTCAAATGCAATTTCTTCGAAAAATCTTGAAAGAGGCTACTAACTTGAAATCTTGAAAGACGCTACTAACTTGAAATCTTGAAAGACGCTACTAACTTGAAATCTTGAAAGACTAAATAACTTATGAGTAATTAAATACTGGAAGTTTCAAGAAAATCTCCCTTGTCTCCTCAGAAAAGCGACAATAAAATCAAGTCGACCTTAAATCGTCGAAACGATGGAACGAAATGTCTACTCGATAAATGAGTCGATGCCCGTCGACGCCTCGTTTCGATAAAACGAACGCCCTGTCGCCGCTTGACACGAGACCTTAACTTTTCATTGTCAAAGAACGTTTGCTGCAAACTTTTTCCTTGATGAAATGTGGATCGTTTGCTGGTCTTTTATTTCGAGTTAAAGATTTCGAACAATGAAGATGGTACGACTTTTACTAGAAATAATTGCTTACTTTTTTATTCTCCTTGCAATGTTAGCACAATATCGAACATGATAATAAGAACAAGTACACACATCGAAATAAATCGCTAAGTTAATCTTTCAATTTGACAATGATGCTATTAAAAGAAATATTCTATATTAAACAAAATTTTCCTGTCCTAACTCTCGTTAATTAATGAAAACTTGCATGTCAACATTTTCAGATAATACACAGACCGTTAGAATTTTCCGCGAAGCATAATGAAACAAATTACAGACATTTTTGCCGCTACAAGAAACTTCCGCTTAACGCGAGCACGCTCGCGCAGCGTGTCTTTCGTAAACGAGACTGAAGGAATTAACGAGATTTACGCGATGCTGTTGTACACAGAGGCACGAATAACAGGCAAACGTTAACTGTATCGTCAGAAATATGAATACGACCGGAAGAGTTTATAACAGACGTCTGAAGAACCAAATCTGGACAATATCGATATTCCAGTCGAGAAGTCTGGCAGTAACTGGTACTGCTAGCGTCGGGATTATAGCGTTCTATAGGTTTGTCTTTACAGGGTGATTAAAAAAAGAAAGAAAGGAAAAAAGGAAGGAAAGCATTTTATCTTTCGGATGATTTGGTGAGGATGAGTAGGTGAAGAGATACAAAAATTTGAGGAGGAGCAAGGTTAGTAACTACTAGTTACTAGTTTGGGATAGAGCGACTGGTAGGAAGGACTGTATTTGGAGAAGATGGTAAGAGAGAAGAGGAACTTCTTTCCAAAATTGTCAGATACTTATATATTCACATTTCTACATCCCTAAATCTCTAAACCCTCACGTAGGTAAATTATAAAAATTCCTAAGTTCTCAAATTCCTATGATCCCCAAATGTCTATATTTCCAAATCTCTAGACCACCAAATACCTACATTTTCAACTCCCAACATACCCAAATTCTTGCGTTTCCAAATCTCTAGACCCCTAAATACCTACATTTCCAACTTCCTTACATTCCTAAATTCCTACCACCCCAAATCCCTACGTTCCCAAATTCCTACCACCCCAAATCCCTACGTTCCCAAATTCCTACGTCCCCAAATCCCTATGTCCCCAAATTCCTACGTTCCCAAATCCCTACGTCCCCAACTCTCTACGTCCCCAAATTCCTACGTTCCCAAATCCCTACGTCCCCAAATTCTTACCATCCCAAATCCCTACGTCTCCAAATTCCTACGTCCTCAAATCCCTACGTCCCCAACTCCCTACGTCCCCAAATCCCTACGTCCCCAACTCCTTACATCCCTAAATCCCTACGTCCCCAAATTCCTACGTTCCCAAATTCCTACGTTCC